GTTTACTCAGCTATCACGTCTAAGAATGTAAAGACACGAGAACTCATCCACTCAAAAATTGCGTAAGAGATGTTTGAAACACAAGAGCTTGTTTTCTCAAATATCGTCTGAGAAACGTGTAAGATGTAAGATCTTGTTTGCTTGGAAATCATGTAAGATATGAATGACATGTGATAGCTCATTTTGTTGGATATCGTGTATGAAAATGTAAAGATGCGAGAACTCGTCTACTAAAAAATTATGTATAAGAATATAAAGATGTGAGAGCTTGCCCACTCAAAAATTAGGTAAGAGATGAACGACACACGAGATCTCATTTGCTTGGAAATTGCGTATGAAAATGTAAAGACATGAGAGTTGTCCACTAAAAAATCATGTAATAGATGAGTGATGCCTGAGAGCTCATTTTCTCCAACATTGCGTTTAAAAATGTAAAGATGCAAGAGTTTGTTCGCTCGAGTATCCCATAAGAATCTGTAAAGACACAAAAGCTCATTTTCTTATACATTGCGTAAGAAATTGTAAAGATACGAAAACTTATAGGCTCAAAAATCGTGTATGAGAATTTGTGAGGTGATGTGTGGTGAGGGTGACCATATATCTTTGTCGAAAACATGCTTCTATGTGTTATTGGTGAGTTTTTTTGGATTTCTTACGTGGTTTCAAAGTGTCTTGTTAAAACCTCCTTAATTAAAACCCTATTTTTCCTAGGAAAAAAAACTAAGGTAAGAAAAAGAGTGCATGTTCTGGGAACCTTATTTGATGTAACATTTTAGATGAATGGTGTTCCACATTCTTTGGAGGGTTTGCCTCCTCGTTCTTTAACTCTATTTTCTTTACTGTCTAGTATTTTGATGACATAGAAGGGGTCTTACTAAGTGGAGGCAAGTTTGTCTGCTTGTTTGTCTTGTCATGCTTCCATGGTGGCTCGCTAGATGAGGTTGCCTAGGTTAAAGGAGCTTTAACTTGGAGTTTAGCGACGGGCTACTCTATGATTACATGTAGCTTCATTGATTTTGGATTTTTCTCTTGCTTCTTCAACAAGGTCAAGTTTGATATTCATGTTTTCAACATTTTTTGTTAAAATGAGATTGCTTATAGGAAGGTTTGCTGAGTTCAACTAGTATCATGGTGTCAACACTGCATGTCAAATGAAAGGGGGTCTCCTTAATAGTGGATTGAGGAGTTAAATGATAGGCCCAAAGTATGCTAGGGAGTTTGTTTAGCCATGCTCCTTTGAAGGGTTTGAGGCATATTCATAGTTCGTTAAAGATGATTTTTGTTGCAAAGTAGACATTTTCATCATCAAAGTTTTAGGTTACATTAGTTTGGGAGTTGTCATAATCTCTTTTCTTAATTCTCAATCTTTTTAGGTCATTTCTCATTTCTTTGCATATTGATTGCACGTACTTCTTCCCCATAATAGTAACATCGTATGTTACTCATATGTTGTTCCAAATGTGATTGAAAATTTGATCTTCCTCTAAGCATATATTCCTTCAATATCAATATTTGTTTCATTTTCACTTAGAGAAATTGTCACCTCATCAACTATGTTCTCCTAACAAGTAATGTCTGAACTAGAGATTTATAAAACTTTGATAGTGAAACCAACAACAATATTGTATGCTCCTCATCATAACTTTTTTCTTTTTCATTTACAACAACGCATAAATGCTCTTGAACTTCTCCCACAAGACTTTTGGTGTTGCCTCTTTTAACACATTGAACTTTATATTTGGAGTAAGAGCTAATCGAATCGTGCTCACAATCTTCTTTTGGATATAACTCAATTCCTTTTCATTGATAGTATTTGGCTCCAAAGCTTGATCAAAACCTTTCTACACTAAAATATATTAAATGGTACACTATCATATCATAAAAATTGTCTTATTGTCAAATAATAGTATCTCAAACTTTTGCATTTTTTTTGTCATGATTCTAATGTCACTTATAAGAAAAACTTATTTTCACATGATAAGATTACCCATACTTTTAAAGATCTTAAACAAAATACACACTATAATTTTATTTCTTAGTTTTATACATAGAACAAATATATAATACAAAATATTAATACTACAATCATTCTAATTTAAAAAAAAAACTAAATTTTGAAAAATATTAAAACAAATTGATAAAAATATATAAATTTAAATAAAGATTACACATTCTTAAAATAAATCCTAATTTTCCCTCACTCAACTTATTTCAAGTTTAAATTATTATTCTTTCAGCATATATATATATACACACACGAGAAAAGTTGCTACTTGCAGTAAAAGTGAAGACATTCTAGAAATCTTCAAATGTTATCATCTTTTACCTACATTCCTCATATAATTGGTTCAAAAATATAGATTCCTCCTTATCCAAATCAATTCTTAGGTTTCCAAAATTTGTTCCATTATATGCTAGATTCGTTTAATGTGTTCCATTATATTGTACTTTTACAGTCATTGCAGATAGCTTGTGATTATCATGTGCAGGTGTCCCCCACCATATTTAATTATTATTCTTCTCTCTCTTTTTTCATCCCTCAGTTAAAGATTGAATTATTTTCATTGCCTATAATTAACTTGCTTCCAACAAGAAAATATTGCCAATTCAAATGCTTAAACTAATTAATTATCTTCGGTTTTTCTTTCCTAGCTAGCTACTTTTATCTAATTCAGAAAAACTGTTTCGTTTTTAATGGAATTGTGCATTATCAATCCTCTCGTAGGCTAACCCACCTTCCATTGACTTTCTTGACACGACCAAACTTATTAGTTTAAGCAATTATTTCGGTGCGGATATTATTATTTAAAAAATATTTATCTACTGTACTATTAATTTTTATTTTCTCAGTTATATACTTATAAAAAAGAAAATAAAATAAAAGATATACAAGACAACTAAAATTATAAAGAAATAATAATAAATAATTATTTTCTTAATTTACGCAATATAAGTTTAAATTATAGGTTAGAAGACGTTTATATATATATATATAT